ACAAGAAGCCGGCAGCACTAGCTGATGCCGCTAACAACAGACACCTGCAGGCCAAACAACAATACAGGCAAGCAAGCCAACATGCAGAAACTACATCGTGAATGTCGGCCCACTCCCAGGAGTCCAGACTCTGGGCTATATATCATCACTCTGCGAAACCACGAGGATGCTCTATGCTTTGCAGACATCCCCGACAGACTGTGCGGTATTCGTGCCGCAATTATCATGGATAGTTTGAGGCCTGAAGTTCACTTCTTGCCTGCGTTCTGGAGAGTCTTGTTTATACGGGAATGTCATGGACACGTGGGGCGAGAAAAAGCTCAAACAATGAAGAGCGGGGCTTCCCTGTTGGAAAACCGCCCCTGATGCCTTGCAACAGGTTTCTGGTTGGAAAGATCGCGAAAGATGGTTTTGGAGTGATGCCCCTCTGCCTTGAACTATCGCCGGCCCCGTCGCCAAGCTTCCTAAAACAAAGAAACCGGCAAAGCACCGTCCTAGATTTTGCAACCTCCAGCCAGGCACTAGTCGATTCAGGTCCTCCTTCTGGATCGTCAGCACCTTCTGGAATTCCATCCAGTACTGCTTCTTTTTGAAGTTCTTCTTCCTGCAACAATCAGCAGAAACTGCAAAGCTTTTCTACGAAAAGCCGTCGCAGGTGCAACCGCTTCTCTTGAGAGCCTGCGATACGTTTCGCAACTGGCACGGAGCAGGGCCGGCACATCCGTCAGGAGGCGGGCCGTCGAGATCTTCACCGCGTTCAGGCTCTTGCCCGTCACTGGCAAAACACATGTCATCTCTCTGCAAGTGCCGGTTCTGAGAAAGTAGCTAGATACAGCATCTGCCCCGACTGCACAAACGTTGCTGCAGCCCAGGCACACTTCAACACAAGAGCTGCGAGCCGGGATTTCCACCGAGTGGCCAGGGCTTTCGCCTCCGATGCTTCGCAGACAACAGTAAAACGAAGCAGGCCCAGAGCTAAGTCACAACCCCAACAGTTGGGTCAAGATCCCAATAGGTTTAGCAGCAGTAGCCACAAAACTGCCGCCAACAAGCAGGCTACGGATCACAACAACAGCCTGCTGGAGCGAGCTGGACTCCTTGTCCTTGCTTTTCGATCGCTTGTGTCTGGCAGCAGCCTCGACCATGAGGCTCTCCTGAGCTATGGTGGGCACCAAAACTTGGAATATGCACAAGAGGCGAACAACTGCGGGAAGCAGTCTGCTCAGCAGCACCAAGCGGAAACACTGCAGCCAGGTGCGGACGAGCGTCAGCCTCTCCGCCCGTGGCCAGAAGCTCGGTTGGGGAAATGCGGCCGGAAGTGGCCGCCATGCTAAAAGCGAGTTGTCGCACCTTGAGATCATTCAGAGTAATCTGCTCACGGCCTCTGGTGAGATCCCGTGCACTCAGGCCGAAGATCTTCTGCACATCCTCTACATCGGGCGTAGCGTCAATGGACTCCTCAGAAGATTCTTCTGTCGACTCACCTGAGCGCAAATCTACCGGAAAGGTCCGCCCGAGTACGGGGATGAATTTCTTGCTGACACATTTCTGAAACGGGTCGAGTTTCTCTTCTTGTTCCTCTTCTTGGCCTTCTTCCGGGCATCCTTTGGTCTGCCCTCGTTCTCAACGTCGCCTCTTTGTTGCACATCAACAGATTCAGACGAAGACTGCTGCTCGTGTTTACGGTGAACATCCAGGACCTGACCTGCTTTTGCGATGCCACACTACACTACAGATTGTGCGAGCCTGCTGACAAGGCCCGCAGCAGGCGGGAGTGAGCTGACGAAAAGAGGAAGGCGGCTGCAGCCTGGCCCTCCGTCTCCGGAGCCTCTTCCTGAAGCTTGCTGCTGGAAAAGCTCCTGCCAGCGTCTCAAAAGCTTCAGCAAACATGATAAATGCAATTGGGTTAATTAGGCGAATCAAGAAAGATAATAAGCGATCCTCGTTGGAGCTTTTGAAGGGCCCATGCTTCGCAAGGGAACAGCCGAGCAAGGGTCCAGCACAGCGGCTTGCAAACTCCCGTGCTGCAAGCTTCGGAAACAGCCGATATGGAGTATGGCGTGCATCCAGAAATATTCGAAAAATGACGGAAGAAAGCAGTTGCCCACACACTGACAAGCCTTCAACTCGCGCCCTCATAGGCAAGCCTGTCTCCCCCCGACAGACTTGTTTAAAGGACACACCAACAAGCAGCTGCTGCGGGTCTTCTGCAAGAAGCTTACCAAACTCGCTTTGGGACGTCGGTCTAGTTTAGAGCTGTTTCTCGACAAAGGACGAAGTTTCTGAGGCCCTATCAAAGCTGAAAGAGCTACTCGCGGAATTCCGGATTTGGTCAGGGACGAATAACAGCACAAACAAATTTAGATATTCAGGACTGGTGGGGAGGACGAACCCTTGTGACACCTCAAGGTTTATGCCCCAATGCCTTGGCCCACACATGCTACAACGAAATACAGAAGCACCGATGTCGATTTCATGGCTTTGATTAAACCTTCAACAAAAACAGCATCAAGCTTCTGGACAAAATTTGATTTGTGATCAACAGAACGTGCCCAACATCGCAGATACAACTCGTGTATCCTGAAGCACGAACTTTAAGTGAAACCCACCGTCCGTTGAACTGAACCCCAAGTAGACTTGCAACCACAAACTCGTAGCACGACCATACTTCCAATCTGATGACATACTCTGCTACACTGAACTGCAACCCGAAGGCCAAACTTTCTGCGAAATCTGGCTAAGTCTTGATGACCGAACCGGGCAGTGAGCGACACTTTAGCGTGAAGTAGCGTGACGGCCGACGACTTAACTGAGGACCAACGAAGCCCTGTTTTCACATACACAACTTTCCTCGCTTGCTTCCTAGAAGCTCTCTGCATGCAGGCTACTTGCACTCGCGTTAACATATTACAAGTCATAAGTCATCAAGTGCTCTATGCCCCTGACAATCAGCAAACCATAGTTGGGCAGTTACACTTTCCGCCCAACTGGAAGACTCGAGACTGTCTTTCCCGCCTAGTTTCAACGGTTCCAGAGATCCACCTCCCAATCATGCGAATGCGGCAGCCTGCTTCCGAGCAATGGCGTGTAATCACACACCAGGCTGGTGCAAACTGGCAAGCAAGCAGACCTAAGCAGTCTTGCCTTCCGGGCCCCGGTGACAAAACAACAGCTGAACGTATTCCTAGGGTCCTGAAGCTCATTGCCTGTTTAGGAGACACTCAGCAACCTTAGCCAGAAGGCACAGTACCCAAAACCTCGCCCAAGAACACAGAAATGTTCCTCACTCGGGGTTGCTTGCATCGGAGCACGGCATCGGCTCGTCATCCGAAGGGTAGCCCTCGGCCGCACAAGTCTTAGGGGATTTAGGCATGAGCTTGGATGGGGGGTTGACCAACCTTTTGTGCAACTATCATTCATCGAGCTGAATTTGCAGCACCCGACATTGAGTCGCTTGCTCGAAACAGAAACACACATACACACATTCAGACAAACGAGCACAACTAGTGTTCTTACTGGACCAGGTTATTTATCACCAAGACACCAGAATCTCCCAGTCAGCATAATCATGTCCATGGTCAGCAGGCTGTTCATCGGCAGCCGACGGCCGTGATGCCATCTTAGATACACGTCAGGAGGTCTCAGGGCCCTGTGTCATCCTAGAGCCGCAGAGAAAACAGCTTGACTCCGGATGCACTCATCCACACCACCTGGAATCTTTCGCAAAACGAAACCACGGAGCCTTAAGCCGACAGCCTTTGACCCTAAACCCTAAACC